ACGTTGGCAACTAAGTAATTGGGTATATTTTTGAGAAATTACCTTTTTCAAAAAACCGAATGTCATTTAGTCGCACACTGACCATAAAATACTTACGTTTTCTGTAGATATGAGTCACTTTGCAAACCAGTTTGTTATCCTCCAAGGTAATTGTTTAAAGTACTGAGAAAAATAAGCAGACCAGTAGTCTCTGAAAGAAATCCGAACCTACTTGATTATTAACACAACTGTTTGGTGAATCTGCATGACGATCTTTGTTTATTGAGCACCATATGTGAGATCGAGCTCCTCGTTTCGGTGAAGTCGCACTACCCTCTACCTGAAGAAGATTTTGGCTGTACAAGTAGCAGTAGTGAATATGGCCCTGGGCACGACTTCAAATGAGGCAGGGTTCATAGTAAAGGGGCACTGAGGAACTGGAGAACCGCTGAAAATTCCTCTAATCATTCTTACTGTCCTGTTGCTTAGGACCAATGGCGAGGCAAATTCTGTTGTGTTTTCCAGATCCTTCAATGCTCCCAGATGTATTAATCTGATCATCGTGTTCCTCACCCTTCAGAGGGGATACTCCGAATCTCGAATCCTTACATTTAAGTTTCTCGCAGATTATATCTACTAACTTTCATCAAAAGATACGATTCGAGTACAGGTGGTACTTGGGTGACCTTATCTTTCTCATTTTTAGAAACCATGTTTTTTGCTTCCACATTTTTTGGATCGTTCTTGTTTTCCGAATGTTTCTAACCAGGAGTTGGGCAGTAGGATCTGTTTCGTGTAATCGATTTGCCGCGCGCGGAATTCTTGGACCACTCGTCTCCTTATTACAGCTCAATCGATATGCGGTTATTACTTTTGTCATGATTCTAATGTTAGTTCCTTTGTTCCTGTATTTCTTACTTGCTGCTACGTTCTGCTACATTCCTCCGCGCGCGGCGTCCCCCTCGTTGCGATGCGACAATTTTGATCCTTCTGCACCCCACCCTTTCCAAACTTTCATAAACAGCTTGCAATTTTAATGGGTTTTTCCTTTGCCCGTCTCAGCTAGGCTCATACCCGCAGCCTTCACTCTCGCCCACAGCGTCTGGATTGGGAAGATGGGAAGAATATGAACTTCTCTTAACGTCTAAGATACTCTTCTTATTGTTCTTGTTCTTTGACTCAAATCAGATTATCCTCACCAAATTTTCAAGGATCCTAAAAGTATCAAACAGCTAGCTTTCTATTTGATCTCACTGTATTTCCCGTTGAGTTTTTATGATAAACGAGTTTCCCTCGTTCTCATGCTCTGATTTCTCGCCATATTGTGTACTGTGATGATTCGGCTGAGTCAGATATGATTAAGCGGACTGCCTCTTCATCGCTCTATTGTTTTATCGTTCGTATTCAGGTAGAAGCACGGCCCTGCTTTCACATACAAGTGATTCAGCGCAATATGGCATGGCGCTTCCAAGCCTCAAAGTTTAAGAATACTACCCCACATCTTCCGAAAAAGGAGGTTTGTTTCATCCTTACGTTGTCATGACGGTTTTTTCTCTTTAAGCGATTCCTAGTACAGTTTTCTCTACATCTGTTGCTTTCTGTTTTATCGGGCACTCTAGTCAAATGAAGAATCGATACTTTGACAGACCCTTTGTTTAATATCGTTGTCGGGTTGTAGATTTTTTCACGAAATTTTTCGAAGGTTCAGTACATAATTACCCAGGGATAACACCAGATGCTGTCGGGCGAAAAAAAACCTAGATAGGGCGTAATAATGTCTTAAAAACCGGCGTGAACAGCGTACACACTTACGCCCTGCCCTAATGCCATTGTTGAGGTGCACCATTCACAATGGCGCATACGTTGAAAACTTTTTGTGCCAAAAACTGAAAATGCAATTGCAGAAGACTGGATTTCGTCCAAGTACCCCTTCCATGCCGTTTCCGTCGCCATAGTCTCTTACGGTCCCTCTTTTTTTTTACCGTTCTTGGTTCATGACGCTTTACATTTCTTGAATGTCCACCGAATTTGACGCATTGTTCGCCTACCTTTGCAGGTTTCTGCGCCATGACTTGAACTATACACGCAAAATTATCGTGAACTGTGCCTTTCATTCTCGAGCTTCACGAAACAAACTCTAGATCGTAACTAGACCAACCACATTGGTAGAGTCCCTATCAAGTAGTCGAGAAAGAGTTTCTACTAAGAGTGCACAATGAAGTACACAATTAAAGTTTGTCGTCTCACTATTTTGCAGCAAACCTTTTTACTAACTTTTACAAACTTAAGCTGAAATATCCTTAGTCGGAATGTTTATAACTTCATTATTAGCGGCGGTTCAGAAAAGAAGGGAGAAAAGTCGAAAATGCTCGATTTCCTGAGATTTCCCCAATAAGTCTCTTCTAGATGTATACTCATTGAAAAAAAAAGTGTACAAGGAGGTCGTGTGCACAGGCCATGCTTTTGACGTCACCTCTTTGTCTCTTGCTTATTTTTTGAGTATATTGGTTAAAAATGCTTTTGATTCCAACAAAGTAGGAGCTGCTTTGGACAATATTCCTGAAAGAAAGAGCTCGACTGTGGGAGAGATCATCAAATTCATTTTTGTGGCGGCTTCCATTAATTTATTTGCGTTTCTCATCATTCAGGATACAATTTTCGATCTCCCCATCGGCAACCTTTCCTGTACAAATAATGGAGTCCAAGCAAGTGGCAGCTATCTGGCCTTCCATGTGGAAGGAGAAGGTATCTAGTATATTTCAATCGCCTTCAGACGAATCAACTCCATATAAAAGGAAGATGTGTGACTGAGGAAAATTCAGGTGGAAAGCTCGGTGCTCTACCGATCAATGCTAAAGGAAGGAAGTTACGGAAAGATATGGGCATTGTGTGTGCCCATGCAGGCTAGTATCGTCTTTTTTCGCGAGTTCATGTGATTTTTCCTTCACAGCTGACAGCAATTTATGCATCTCACTTTAGATCAGATTGATGACTTCTGCTTCATGACATTCAATGATGATCTGTTGGTAACGTGCAGTAGAGATGATAATGTATGCTTATTGCGGTATTTGATCTCCCTTTTCCAATTTACTTCTCCACTCCTAGCCTATCAAAATTCTTCACTGGAAATTCAGGACTAGTATTTCAGGTCAAACTGTGGCGTCTGTCCGGTGAAGAAGCAACACCTTCTCTCGAATGTGAGGTTCATGTGGGAAATGGAGTGCTCATGGATTCCATCAAATCACATTCCACCGCCTCCAATATCATAGCTGCCGCCTCTGTGGGTGACGCTTATGTCATTGATGTTGAGAGGAAGGTAGTTGCCACAAGTGAGTTCCTTTGAAACATTTCAGATTGTTTGATTTTTCATATACAACTGTGCCTTAAGTACTGTCATTTGTGTCTCCAAAGTATCCATTGCAATCTACCCTATAACACGCTCTCACCTCTTTGGTTTCATACTTAAAAACTTTCTTTTGCACGAACTCCGCCAAAATTTTCTCTCCTCGGGCTTTTCATGCCTCATTGACGGGTGTATACAGAACTCGAAACTCGCCACTTCAACGATTTCAAATTTAACTTTTCCAGCTGGCTGGAAATTGCTAATGCTTATTGTTATCTATTTACATAAATCTATTTTCTTTTTCTTGATGGACCGCTCGTGCCTTTCGCAGCCGCGCAAGTTTGAGTTCAGATCCCTTCATGTTGCACGTTCAGTGACATTCATCATGAGAGGTGCTGTAAGCAAGTTTATTATTCGAACAGAACCTCCCAAAAGGTCGGCAATGTCAGAAGGGAACGAATCATCCTAAATAGTGTTTAAACTTGACCACACGCTGACTTTTCTCAGGCCTAGCACCTTCTGCTTGCTAGCATTTCCCTTTTTGCAATTTCTCTTAAAGAAAAATCTATCCTGAAGCAGATAGTGATCACTTTTATAATTAGCTATATGGGTGAAATAATGAATAACGATATGAATTATTTTGACAGAACTTCACGGCTTTGTGGACAAAGGTCAATCGGTGGACTGGAGTGAAGACGGAAAGTTGGTGGCAATCAGCGCTGACAAAGGGCGTGAGGTGGGCTTTGAAACTATTTTCATATGATGAGCACTTCGAGTTCACAACCAACTCTTGATACCTGTTTTTTTTAAGTTTTCAAGAATTTGAATTTAGAGGCTTATTATTCGACTTTTTTCGTCCGCGAGCTTTTATTGATGCTCTCATTCCGCTTCTCCGAAAGGAGATATATTGATGAATTCATGCATTTACTCATCTTCTGTGTGGAGACCGATTTGTTGAGCTGAGTCCTTAGTTATCTTTGTTCAGGTATGCGTTTATGATGCACGAAGTGGCACATCTCCCATACAACGGTTGGCTGTACACCAGGGCCTGGGCCGTGAATCACGGGTATTATTTTGCGGAGATCGGCTGCTCTCCAGTGGATTCACCAGTGTAAGTTTTTGAAATCTAATTTCAACTCAGGTTATTCAAAGGGGTGACAACAAATGAGTTTGTCGCTGTAACTCTTTTTTTTTTTTGATGATTCCTTTCCAGAAACGGGCTCAGGAAGTCCACGTATTGGATGTGGGAAGATGGGACACACCTATACACACTCAAGAATATGTTTCCGCTACTGGAGTTTTAATGCCGTTTTATGATCCGGACACAAAATTGGTGTTTCTTATTGGCAAAGGAACAAACAAATTATTTATTGCGGAATTCCAGTCCAAGGTTCCACATCTTTCTCCAGGTCTGCTTCATCATGAATTCAATTGTGTAGAATATCCCATATATTTCTTTTTCCTGTTTTGGTAACTGGTGGCTCCTTTTTAGTTTACGAAATGTCTCTTGCTGAGCAGAACCTTGGTGCATGTCTGGGTAGCAAGCGGAACGTGAAGGTCATGGATGGTGAGGTGGACACCCTGTATCAGCTCACAAAACATTGCATACTACCGATCCAGTGTATTGTACCGCGTCGGGTAAGTTAGCCATATATAGTAGATCACTGTATTAGTTTTACCACTTTTTGTTCAAACTGGTGTATTCTACTATCGAGACGAATTCTCCATTTGTGTACCATTAGCGCACCCTCCGCTCACCTTCTGTGCAGCTCCGGTTACGGGAAGCATCTTTGCTCTTTTTAATCTGAAGATTTCTTAGGGCATTCATGAACCTTCCCTTCATTTGAATAGAAAATGGGATATCAATTTTTTTCTTCTGCCCTTTTCGTTTTTTAATGGAAGACGTTGCAGTCTTACCGCGATTTCCATGCGGATTTATTCCCGGATACTCGAGGTCCGAAAGCTGGCTGTACATCTGGAGAGTGGTTGGCTGGCTCTAACTTGCTCGTAAGTCTTTTTTATAGCTCAGACTGTTCTCAAATCATACTTGTAAATTATGTTGGCAGAAGTGTCAGAACAGTGAGTTCACCTGTTCAAGCTTAGATGGTTATTTCAGCCTGAAAAAGTGTCACTTGCTCCAAATGGAACCAACGGTCTTCCGTATGTGACGAGTAAAACGCCTTCCCCTATATCACCACCAGTGCCTACCATCAAAGAAGCTGTTAAAACTGTGGTGGAAACTCGTCATTCGCCTGATATGCAACGTGCACGTGCACAAACCCATCCTGCGCACACGCTTACTTCAGGAACGCTGCCTGATTCAGTGTGTCACTCAACTTTCAAGGTAGGCGCGGAACTTCAATTTTGGAATGGCGATTAGTCAAACATTTTGTTGATACTGAACATTTTCAGACCAAAATAGGTTTGGATGGAGACAGACCTGAAGTGAAGGAGCTCGTTTACACGGTTGATGATAACTCCGAAAAGGAAAATGGTTTGAGAAAGGTACTTATTACTCGTATTTTAGGATTTGTGGTCATTTGTTAGCTCTTTTGTGGCTTGGGTGCTTACATCAGTTAATGGTCAATGAACAATGAACAAGTCAATAAAAGTTGCATGCTAATCAGATTCTGATTACTTAGAAGACTTTTATCCGTCCCTCATCTGTTCTGTAATTAAATAAGTGATCATAGAGTAGAGCTTTTACTTTGACTTGAGGAGACTCTGCCCTTCACACTACTATATCCTTGATTGAGATCAAGATTAATATGCTTGGAACCCAAGCTGCAGTAGACATTCTTCCCTACATGCTAGAGCTACATACTAGTTTCTGCGCAGCGAACATGCATGAAATATGAACGAAGTGGTCTTTCTTTTCAGGAGAACGATGCTCATCACAAGTTGACCGAAGTTGGAGTATACCCCAAGTTAGAGCGATCAACTTCTGTAGACCAATCAACCGTCTCACCTGTACCTGAGCCTCCCATCAGAATTCGGCAGCTCAACGACAAAAGCGGTACTTTATTAAACTAGACTTTCTGCAGTTTCTGACATTCAATGTTACGAATTTTCAGATCGTTCGATCTCAGCTCGTGTTCGGCCAAAATCCTGTGTTGTTGGTGTTGTGGCCTCCAAATTTCGTCATGTTGAGACTTTGATTGGAGCGAGAGCTAATAATACGATATTTACAAATATACGCAATGTAAACACGCAGCTCCCACTTGAGACAAACGGCGCTTGCACGAGTGGAAAGGTACCTTTGTTGAAGCATCCCTAGAGCTGAATGTTTCGTGTTCTCGTAAAGTTTGCGTTTTTTTTAGTTTGTCGCTGTCCCGCTGAAAGGACCAGCGGGTGTTGTGGGTATCTATGATGTTGAAAAACCAGGAAAGCTCCCAGATGGTGTTATGGACGGAATTTTTAATAAAGCGCAGGTTCGTTCCAGTTAGTATCCTATGAAATCAGTTTACGTGTTATAACATTTACTTATAGTGAAAGAGGCTCACATAGTTTTTGGAAAAAGTCCCAGAAAGCATAACATTACTGCGGCTCGTTAGAGACAAAAGTTTCCTTTGCCTACCTTTTCAAATATACGATGTATAGGATGACACTCTTTGTTCTCATCTCTATTTTTTGTTATTCCACGTGCCCAAATCTTTCAAACGGATATAATGCTTCTCTGACAAAACTATAAATGACCTGTTGGAGCCACTCAATAGAGCATCGGCATAACTAGAGTTTTACCCCATGAGATCCACTTCTTCCCGCAGGCCTATGTTGTGAGTAGTAGGAGAGATGTCTTGTTTAACGTCTTTT